CCCCGGGCCGTTGTATTCCCGACCGTGCGTGATCTTCCACTGTTCCCATTGGCTGTCCAGGGTCACCTGATCCAGGCGGGCCAGCGCCGACACCGCCAGAAGAAACACGCCAAGGCAACGCCGCCACATCCTGCTCAAGCACAAACACACACGCTCACTGCATCAGATTTTCACATGACCACATTTTGCATTTTATGATTCGGTTGTGTGTTTTTGTATTTTTAACCTTCTGTAGGTTGGAGTTGCTGATTGCTTTCTATTTAAAATAATGCTACAGGTAAGGTGATTTTTTATTTTTATTTTAGAACAAGCATTGTGTAACTTTTACATCATTGAATATTTTTTTTCTTTATTTAAGTATATTTCAGAGTCTACATTTTTATTTTCATTTGCGAACAGCAGCGGAATCAGCACTTCTAATTTTTTCTTTTTTTTTTTCAAACTCAAGTATCTGTACTTCTACGTCAGGAATCAAAGTACTTTTGTGATCTTTCGCGCAAATGAACTGGAAAACGACACTTGCCTGAACAGGAAGTTAACTTCAAAGTCAAACATATCAACCGAAAAGTTGCCGTACCTTCAAAGTCCAGAAGTTTGTCAGATTCTGTTGAAGTGGTCCTGTTTTGGCGCCGGGCGAGTCCAATGCGCAAGTAGGTCAGCGTCTGGTTTATATGTCCTGGAATTTTGAGGAAGTAAGAAAGGAGTTTGGGGTCCGGGGAGGAGTTGTGCCGAGGAATGAGAAAGAGGACATCTGGTTTCACTCTGCCATCGTGCATGATGCCGCTTCATGATCCAGGAAGTCTGCTGACACGGCTGGAAAAAAACACAAAAACAAAAACAAGCAGGATTGAAATAAGAGAACATCACAAGTGTACCTCTTCCACGAGGATATATACTTTGACATTTGAGGATGATTGTGATTAACATGTTGTATATACGTACTACTTCTTTGTCGCTTCGTAATATCGCTGTTCATTGTTTACGCCCCTGCTGGAACAACGAATTTAAGTGATTTTTTTTTGGTTTGTTTACAGTAGAGGTGTGAGTCTGAAGGAAGAGTTGCCCACCACATGGGCAACATTCAGATCTACTGGAAGAGATGCAACCTTTAAACAAGAGGCAGCCAAGGATCTTCAAATTTGCCCAAAATGGCGGATTCAAACCAAAATGGCTGACTACCTGTTCAGTTTCTGGCACGGGCTCAAGAGACTTTGTTGTGCGTTCTGTTCTCATTGGCATGTCTCCCCAATTATGTGTTGATCTAAAAAAAAAAAAAAAAAAAAGTTTCATGGGTTCATGGTTCTTTTGTTGTATCCAAAAATCCATAAAAATAATTACATTTGATGCCACTCTCTGCCCAAACTTGACTGCAGAGTAAAAAAAAAAGCTTCATAGCTTAGCATTGCCTGTCGAGGATACCTGTTTCCAGTTCAGGCTCATTTGGGGAAATTCCAGAGTAGGAGTTCGTTCAATGAATATCTCGCTGACTTTAAAAAAAAAAAAAAAAATCAAAAGTGAGCATTATTGTCTTTATGAAAGCCGAATTCTTGTGTTGGATCTCAAAAGATGGTGTACCTAATGAATTGTGTTTGTGTGACAATGACCGACAATGTATTATTAAAAAACAAAAGACCAAAAAAATGACACACTTCCTCAGGTGGTCATCACGTAATGGAAAGAAGCACATTTATAGAAAGGGGGACAAAATGGAGGCCGCACGCTATCGGTTGCGCTTCCTCGTGGCGTTAGTCACGCGCCTGATTTGTACATGAACAACATGAACATGTATATAAATATACAGAAGAACCGCCTTGGTCATGTGTGAGCTGACACACTGGCCGATGCAAAACTAGGGCAGGGGACACTTTATTAGGTACACCTGCAACCGCAGCCATGTTCTTTTGTGGCTGCTTTGTGACCATGTGAGGCTTTTAAGATCCTTTTTTTTTTTAAAGCTATATAACTTGATTCTTTTATTTACATTTGAAAATATTTTTTTTTCTCTTCAGAATATTTTGAAATAAATGTAGCTTTCTAGTAACATAGCAGTTTTGCGTTGATTCTTTTATTTACATTTGAAAATATTTTTTTTCAATTTTTTTTTCTCTTCAGAATATTTTGAAATAAATATAGCTTTCTAGAAACATAGCAGTTTTGCATCCAATTGAGGCTTTTAGTGCTAAAAAGCGATGACAAAGCTTCCTGCCTTTCAAGGTCACAAATGACCTCAGCAGCGGCGCTCCGATGCTCAGGCGTTCTAAGTGGCGCCCATGGGACCGCCGCGCTGGCCTTGGCTCTTGATTGATGACACCTCATCTTCATCTTCTTTTCCTCTTCCGCGTCCTAAAGCTCCAACAAGATAGCCACAGCACTTAAGATGATTAGATGACGGGCGCACAGCACTGATCCGCCGGTAGAAAACATTTTTTTAATTATTTTTGTAAAAATGCAACTTGATTCTACTAATAAACTCTGTCTCAAAAAAAAAGACTTAATTTCTAATGTCGTAATATCACGTCTTGTTTCTTTTGAAAACCTGTATCGTCTCTGAATAATCCGCTACGACTGTACTTTTACAATAAAATTATGTGTATTTACAAAATTTCTGTTCATTATTCTTGTGTTAACCAAGAATAAAAATACAAAATAATTTTCCTGACCGATAATTTTCCTCACTTCCCTGAGCATCAGGAGTTCTCTTACATCACTCAAAAGTCATCTTTAAGCTACGGTATGATCTATAGGAGCAGTCACTGAAGACCTTACGTAAACCAAGTAACGATGGTGCCGAGAAGCTTTTCTGATGCCACTTTTCACCGGCTGCTCGCTCGCCAGATTAACGATGGCCGCAGACACTAAAGAGGGTTTAAGGCTTGTTCCGACCTCCGCGGATTACAGTCGCGCGCCTTTTTTTCTTTTTTTTTTTAACCTCCTGACCTCTGATTGTGTGTGACGGGATATTCCACAAAAACACAAAATGGAAAACATCCAAATGACTTTTTGTCTGGCATACCACTGATTGGAAAAGTCAGACTACAAATCGAGTCAACAATCTAGTTTGGATTTGTCATTTAGATGTCCATGCCTGATGTGGGTCAAATACACAAAATATATACAATTATGAATTCTGTCTGTCTGTCTGTCTGTCTGTCTGTCTGTCTGTCTATCTATCTATCTATCTATCTATCTATCTATCTATCTATCTATCTATCTAGCTAGCTCGCTACTGAGCTAGCTCGCTAGCGAGCGTGCTAGCTAGCTCGGTCGCTATCGAGCATCACCAGTCAATGGCAGGGCACATAGACAAACACCCATTCACACCCACATCCACACTGTCACTGAGTGGAAGTCAATCTCACGCTGCCAGCACACAAGTCAGACGAGTTTATGCAAATTCCCACTTTGAAAATTAAATTATTAAATGGTAATTAGTAGGGCAGCAAGACTAGGCCATTGTAATGCAAATACTAAACTCAAGAGAATTACAACAAACACAAAAAGCAGTTGTGAAGTCATGCCTACTAGCGAGGGGAGAATTAGTAAGATCGGTAAAAAAAAAAAAACAAAAACGTATGGAAAGGAGGACAAAGATGCATCATGGGAAGTCCCCCCGCCAACAGTCTAGGCCTGCAGATGTATCACTCAGGAATGATTCAGGAAAAGTATAATCAAAAAATAGGTTTTGAACACAGCAAGGACACAGGAAGATTTTTGGAACACATTATTCGAGTGAGTTGATGAGCAACTGCAAACACTTGCAAAGGTGTTGTGCAAAATTCTTTGACCACCATTAGATTCTCTAACAGATGAATAAAAAGAGAAGTTTGAACATTGTCAGGCAATCTGGTGACCGGTGGTTGCAGTATTACTTTGTCTAAGGCTAAATGCTATCTTGGTAGCCAGTATAACAGCTGTAAAAAGGTCAGGCCATTATCCAATCTTTTTTTGTTCGGTCACGGCAACTAATTTGGAAGCTGGCTGTGGTACCTCGCGGTCCCACATGGTAACATTGGAAAGGCCCTGCCAGAAATGCTCAGCTTGCGTTAGATCCGACCACAGCGTTAGGCTAGTAGGAATACATTTCCCATGATTTTTAAACGCGGTAGAACTAAGTTGTTTAGTTCCAGCATGATGAAAATTATAGATGCCCCCTAGCGTTTACATGCAGGTGAGAATGACAACACAAATTTAATAGGAAGGAATTTCAAATTAAAGGCGACAAACTCAAAAGCTGACATACATCCACACAAGCAGATTGCATGGCGTACTATCAATTTTTGAGAAAAAAAAGGATTTTAAATCCGCCTTATGGTCTGAAAAATACGGTAAGTCAAGTTATCTCTCTGTATTAGAGGTTCACTGTAAAGCCTAAAGATTGACATCAACTGAGTTTTATTCCTCAGAGTGGAAAAAGCCCAGCAAGGCATGAAGCAGCCGGAGTATTGGACAAGATCTAAAAAGACCAACGTGGCCGAGGCCGATCCTCGCGTGATGAGACTCTGCATCCGAGTCGCCTCTTTAAAAATAAATCTGCTTATTTGACCACCACTGTGCATTTTGTTCACTTTTGGACTCGTTGTCCGGATTAAAAACTCTTAAAAAAAAAAAAAAAAAAAAAACGTATGGAAAGGAGGACAAAGATGCATCATGGGAAGTCCCCCCGCCAACAGTCTAGGCCTGTAGATGTATCACTCAGGAATGATTCAGGAAAAGTATAATCAAAAAATAGGTTTTGAACACAGCAAGGACACAGGAAGATTTTTGGAACACATTATTCGAGTGAGTTGATGAGCAACTGCAAACACTTGCAAAGGTGTTGTGCAAAAGTCTTTGCCCACCATTAGATTCTCTAACAGATGAATAAAAAGAGAAGTTTGAACATTGTAAGGCAATCTGGTGACCGGTGGTTGTAGTATTACTTTGGCTAATGCTAAATGCTATCTTGGTAGCTAGTGTAACAGCTGTAAAAAGGTCAGGCCATTATCCAATCTTTTTTTGTTCGGTCACGGCAACTAATTTGGAAGCTGGCTGTGGTACCTCGCGGTCCCACATGGTAACAAGGCGCTGCCAGAAATGCTCAGCTTGCGTTAGGTCCGACCGCAGCATTAAGCTAGTAGGAATACATGATTTTTAGACGCGGAAGAACTAAGTTGTTTAGTTCCAACATGATGAAAATTATAGATGCCCCCAAGCGTTTACATGCAGGTGAGAATGACAACACAAACTTAATAGGAAGGAATTTCAAATTAAAGGTGACAAACTCAAAAGCTGACATACATCCACACCAGCGGATGACATGGCGTACTAACAATTTTTGAGAACACAAAAGGATTTTAAGTCCGCCTTATGGTCTGAAAAATACGGTAAGTCAAGTTATCTCTCTGTATTAGAGGTTCACTGTAAAGCCTAAAGATTGACATCAACTGAGTTTTATTCCTCAGAGTGGAAAAAGCCCAGCAAGGCATGAAGCAGCCGGAGTATTGGACAAGATCTAAAAAGACCAACGTGGCCGAGGCCGATCCTCGCGTGATGAGACTCTGCATCCGAGTCGCCTCTTTAAAAATAAATCTGCTTATTTGACCACCACTGTGCATTTTGTTCACTTTTGGACTCGTTGTCCGGATTAAAAACTCTTAAGAAGATCAAGTTCGTATTCCCCACCGCCCACATCGTCAAAACATTTTGTTCTTGTACAAAGCTCCCCAAGAACAGTGGCAAAGTCAAACCGTGACGAGACAATGTTCTTTGGATTGAGGTCAGCCAAGTGAAAGGCAGAAATCAACATGACGCGGGGAGCAACAATTTCTGATGATCACTCGTCAGCGACAGTACACGGGCGGTCGGGCCTATTATGGATCTAAACACACAACATGTACCACCAGCACCTCATCCGACAAGAAAAGTTAAAGTAAAATTTCACAGCTTTGAGGGACATTCGGGTGTCCCGGAGCAAATTAATCATTCTGCTGTCATTCCCAACGGAACTGATTTTTTTTTTTTTTTTTTTTTAAATATCATCCAAAATCTTGTCTAAACGTGTCTTCCCTATAATAAGCCCTTTAAAATGACTCATTTCCAGAACCTTGGAAACTTCCATTTCCCAAATGGATCTTTTTAATTGGAAATTTCGCAGCCAACAGGCAGGCTGTGAGTGAGGTACCATCCCCGAGGGTTCATCAGCCAACCCGTTTCAGTCCCTGGGCAACGTTCCAAATGGGTCTGCTGGAGCCGAGCCGGAGGTATCCGGAGCGTCTCGGGGCAATCTGTGATCAGATAGGCTGCAATTTTATCTTCTTGCTTTTAGATAAGAATCACGACACGGATAACGTGATGACCTAACAGCACTTGAGATGTCGAAGGATTTGGGCTCCGCATGAATCGGTGGTGATTCGAATTGGGATTCGAGTGGGT